CTTCATCTTAAGGTTACTGAGGTTAGAACTATTGTAACCAGGCAACTGTGCCGTTTTATTATTTTATTATTTAAGAGTCTTAGTCTTATCTTAGTCGCTTATTTAAATTATGAAAACAAACTTATGAATGTCTGATGTCGCTAGTCAATGGAATTATCTAACTGTGTAAAAATACAAATATTTACCGTTATAATACAGATGTGACGTCACCCTTTTGATCTTGGCGTACCATTATCCAACATGGACCCTAAATATTGATCTGTTTTATAAATGTATTGATTCAAATAGTATGTGATCACTAGTTATAATGATACATACATGTACGATGATGTGGTTTAAAGCATCGATCTGAGATTCATATTTATAATGCACTACAATGTTCTTCACCAACAACACTAAATGTATTAATTTAATACATCCACGGAAAGAATATTTCTAATAGCTCGGTCAATACTGTTATAGTTATCACTAATTGCCAATATAATTTAGCAATGTAAAACGATACCATAAATACCATGACAGTGGTTATATAGGGGCCATAAAGAATTAAATTTATTCTACTACCAAATACCTTTGGATATATGCTCCGCCTTTTTAGATTGGAAACATTTTCCTAGGGGGTGAACCCCTGACCTCCAACAAATCTAGTGCCCTATTAAATCCAGAAAGGGGAACTGAGGGCCCTCAGATCCATTTTAATTTATATCATTTAATAGAAAATGAACGACAAAACAATGAGGGAATAACAGTTTCAGAACTCGGAACAGGTATATTTTTTATCAATCCTGACCGGACATTTTAAAAGGTTTCCTGTATTATCTTGTCATGTAATTGGATCTCTTGTGACCTATATTAAAGCACGTGCCCGAGTAGATGTTATTATTTGTGGGCTGTAGTTTAAGTTACAAATATTTACCGTTATAATACAGAAGTGACGTCACCCTTTTGATCTTGGCGTACCATTATCCAACATGGACCCTAAATAACAGAGCTCGGCTGCACGTATGGTGTGATAATTGCAGTTATAAAGTTTTAAA